ATAAGCAATTGGTATGCTCTTCTCTGGAGAAGACTATTTTTCTCACTCTCAGCATTCTCCATGCTAAAGGGGGCAGGTGACACTTTTCATGCTTTCCAAGTTGCTCAAACTTAAGAGTTCTACCTGATAACTACTCCAGTCAGTGAACAAACATTCAAAAACTTTATTACTCAGCCTTCATGTGAGTCCTCCAAAAATCTGTTATTCCCTGATATCTAAGTGTAGGGCACAGTAGAGAGAACACCTTGTGTAAAGAGTAAACAAGGAACATCATTATTCTAGAAGTTGATTTTGTTATAGGGAAACATGAAAGAAGAATGTAAAGTAAGGCCCCTGCCCTGCTAGCTCTGGCATTTAATGGAAGGTTTAAACTCACTGTCTTTGACAAATGGCAACAGAGGCATTCCACAGGATCAGGCAAGAGACACAGTTCATGTCACAACCCCCAGCATTTTCATGGTGCTCACATAACAAGGTCTGAAGTAAGCCCCCTGCATCATTTCAAGTATGAGAAAACAGGTGTTCGGATCTCCTCAGCAGACAAAAAACTAAACTGACCTTGGGGTCTGAGACTTACAGTATCTGATTTGTCTTTACCAGACCATGTCTGGAGCCTTATTCCTCTTAAACCACTAATCACATAAATCTCAGGGACTCAGGAGTTAATTTGTGTTGAAGAGTGAATGCCAGAAGGGCACGAGAATTTGAACTTTCACTTTCGAAGACTTTTAGCTAAGGCATCTGTCCTGTGTTCCAATGGAGTGACTACTGAGAATCCAGAGACATGAACTAATGAGCACCTGGCCCAGTTCTGATTTGCTCAAGTAGCAAAGACTGGGTAGATCATCTAAGGAAATAGAATTTAGGGAATTTCTTTCCAATGAGGAAGAACTAATTAAATCTCTTAAGTCATGAGAAAAGTTGACATTTTCATCTGAAATGCTGAAGTTTTAGGTTCAGAAATTACATTGTCATAGTTGAAATAGCAATCTTTTAGAAGACAGGAAATACCGAAGCCAGCCTTCAGCAGAACTTACTGAGGCTTTTTGCACATGGCACATATTTTATGACCTGGGGTTAACAAATAGCTATGAGGTTGAAAAGAGAACCTCAGACTCAATAGAGAATGATTCTATAGCACAAAAACCCTGACTTGTCCTGAACACTACTCCAAAAATAAAAATTCTGTTCATCTAATTCTAGCATGTGTTCTTCCTTGAAAATAAATAGAACAAAAAGTCAGCTCCACTGCAAACATTACATGTACCTACATACGCCACCATCCCACAAACCTGAGAGCTGATACATGATTGTGGCAACTCACTAACACTCTTATGAACCAAGAGTCTATTTTTTCAGTACTAGACCTTCATTTTCTATCTTTGGAACTAAGAAATACTTACATAATTGTCTTCAAATATGGCTCGACTTTTCTTCCTTGATGGAAACAGCATTCCTGCCAACTTTAAAATTTATAGCTACGACCATATTTTTTTAATTTTTAAAAGCACAGAAAATACCACAATCCTTCAAAGTGATTTTGAAATGAACATTTCTTCATCTTCCTAATTACCCCATGCCACACTAAAATGTACCCATCACACAAATGGAAAGAACATTTACCTTTGATTCCTAGTGTAAAACATTATCTTTGATGGGTTACTAGCAAATGAGGAGCAGAATAAAGAGGCTAAATTTGATCAATGTATGCTGTGCTCATATATTGAAACAGCACACTAAGAGCCATTAATATGTACAGTTAATGTATATTAATGAAAATTTAAGTATTGTCTTTGGGATAATGAAATTAGCAACTAAAATATTCTAGGGGCAATCATATGAAAGTTATTATAAATTTTAATACACAGTAAAACTGTGGGGGTGAGGAGACAGTTCAGTGGGCAAGAGTGTTTGCTATGCAAGCATGGAGGATTCAGTTCAAATTCTCAGCCACCAATCAAAAACCCTCTCATGTCTGTAGGTGCTGGTAACCCCAGCATTTGGAGTTGACAACAGATGTATCCCTGGAATTCAGTTGCCACCAGCCTAGCATAAACGGTGAGCTTCTAGTTCAGAGACTGTATCGTAAAAGGAGCAAAGCACAGAATGATAGAAGACAACCAACATCCTCCTCTGGCCTTGCATATGTGTACATGGGTACCTGACCTACATCCCCCACACACACTATTCACCACATATATACATACACACAAGTACTACATACCACACAAAAACACATACACACACATAAAAAAGTGTGAGTCTTATGATCAAGTTCTTTTGTTTTTATGTATGGAAAGGGAAGGAAGAAAGGAAGGAGAGGGGAATAAGGCAGACAGGAAAGTAGTGGGAGGGGAGATAGATAGATAGATAGACAGACAGACAGACAGAGATAAAAACAGAGCAAGACAAAGAGACAGAGACTAACTTAAACAGACTACACTATAATTTTCTAACACAGGTTCAACTAGTTTCTAATTTCATTGGTTTATCTTCTGATAATTCTCAGAGGAAAATGAAACAGGGATTAGTCCTTGTTCTGTTTGTTAAACCAGTAAACAAAAAATGACCCAGCTGCTAGATCCCAGACCCATTCTTTAAAAGAAAGTCTTGGAGGGAGAAGAGAAGCTCCCAATGTTCTAGGAAAGTTTTAACAGCGTTTCTTCTTCTTCAAAGTAACAAAGCCCATCTCACCAGAAAATGGGAACTGTCTCCTAAACCTGAGACAGACTGTGTCAAAGGCTGTGTCTAAGACTTCTACATTTGAAAATTTTATTTGAAAACCTAAAAATGAATATAATAATGTAGCCCTACAGCCTCTGAGGCAAAAAAATACTGAAATGTAATGGAAAAAGAAATAAACTCTAGCCTATCAAAAGAAAGAAAGCAAAATAACAGAGAGGAGTAGACAGACAGGCAGACAGAGAGAAAGACAGGTAGATATTGACCTGGTACAAAAGGAGTGCAGCTAGACAGGGTTTTACACACCTGTAAACTCAGCACTGGTGAAGCATAGGCAGGAAGATCAAGAGTTCAAGACCATCCTTGGCTACATAAAGCTAAAGGCTAGCATGATTGTACCATGAGATTCTGTCTCAGGAAAAAAATAAGAGTGTTCAGTAAAATTTAGATTGTAACAATGGCTTTGTGTAACATTTAAACCTTGAATCCTTCCTAAAGGCATTGGGCTTTTGCTCCATCTCCTTGACTTGAGGTATGCCTCAAGGTAGCACAGTAGCACCCCTTTCACTTTTGACAAGGTGCATGTAGTTTATGCACATAGATGCATATGTTTATAAGATCCTAACTGGCATTTGCCCATCACAAAAACACAACCTTAAAGGCAGCATTCCTGTTGTTTCTAAAGAGGTAAAGTTAAGTTCATCTTTTAAACTCCTCAAGAAGCCAGTGAGACAAATGAAGAGCTTGCCATTTAAGGTCTTACATACTGGTCACTTACTAGACAACCTTCTGAAAGGCAGATCATAATTTCTGTGTCTTTATTTCTCCTTACAGAAATTAGAATAGAACTGCCTAGAGTTCATTGACTGTAGGGAGAACTGCGAGAAATTCTCAGATCTCCTTCTAGATCAAGGAAGAAGGGATACATGTTGAAGTTTAAGTGATTTTGCAGAGCGAAATGAACAGAAAATGGGGAGGACCATGGGACCAAGAGAGAGAGAGGACAGGGCTCCAGGAAAAGCTCATATAACAGTTGCCTATCAGGAGACAGGAGTGGTCAGTGTAGCATAAAGGACTGCTGGGTAAGGGAACATGTTTATCACAGAACCCTGAGAAGTTCACCCATAGCACACTGATAGGAATAACCAGGAAACACTAATACACCTCTCAACAGTAAGAGCCACTGGACAAAAAACTGGACTGTTACCATTACTTCAGTCATGAAAGCTACAGCCTCAATCAGAGGAGATGGTTTTCTTTGTCTAAAACATGCCTATAAATCTTTTGGGCCACTATTTAGTTTAGACCTCATGGTCTGCATATGCTTCTTCCAAGTCTGGGTATAATAAAATAAACTGAGTTGATATTTTGGTGTGTATGATTTTTCTTGTCCCTGTTCTTGAGCACGTACTCCAAGTGAAAGCACATCAGCTTTTCTATTTTATATCTAATATAAAATAGGCACCATTTTGTACTCTTTAGATTGCAACAACTAGCTTGCCATGTTAGAATTAGGATCACAATTCCTCAAACATGACAAATAGTGGTATCATTAACAATCAAGAAAAATTAGTGAATTCAGAATCTTAAAATGTAACACAATGAACAACGGTTTGTACGCACGACTTGTGAAGAAGAGCAATACATAAACAAGTGTATATAAATCATACACATTCTATAAAAAAGGAGTATTGTTATCCCAACAGATCACATCTAAGATTTAAAAGGATGTTGTTGTTGCTTTAAGGCTTTTTCATTCTGGTGTAGGAGAATCTAAACAGCTTAGTATTTTGGATCTTATGAATTGTTTGTTTGAATTATATATATATCTCTTTATTGCCTTTTGAAACAGGTTCCCACCCCTTAACTTAAGCTGGCTAGAATTCAATTCACAACAACCCTACTGACTTAGCCTTCCAATTGCTAAGATTACAAGTGTGAACCACTACACCCACCTGGGATTATATTTGATATCTGAAATTAATTGAAGAAAGCATATTACCCTGAATTACAATGTGCAACTATTATTGTTCCTATATGGGAGTTTGAGTATAAGCTGAAGATCATTTCCAAAAATATAATGAGTATTGAAGACACATGACTTTGTATGCTGCACAAGAAACCCAACTACCATCTTTATGAGGAGAATAGTAAAATTCCCTGCTCCATGACTTTGGGGCCCTAAAGTAGGTGGACTCCTCATTAGCTTTACCCAGACTGTCCCATCAAAATGTAATAGAGCTGTAATAGAAATTAATAATGTATGTTTTTATAAAACAGCAGTAGAAATGCATACAACAATCAGTTATCTCACGTACTTTGCAAAGCCAATAAAGTCTTCATGGTTGGTATTAATGTAAGAGACTTGGATGTCAATCAATAGCAGGACCTAGAAGACAAAGAGAATCAGTGTCATGACAATCCATCTTCAAAATTCTCAAATATTAAATTCAATAATTATCCATGTTATTCCTTGGTATTTGGTTTTTAAAGTATTTTTTATTCAAATAACAAATGGTTTTTCTCTCTTGGGAGCCTTTGTACTCTAAATTTGTATGTGGTGGGTAAGTCTGAGTATCACATAAAGAGAACAGCATTGTAGTACATAGACATTGGAACTGCTTGCTGTCATAGCCCAAAACCTAGAATTATTTTGTTCCTCAATAGCAGAGGCCATGTTCTAAGGAAAGGCAAGGATATATAAGCAATAGCACCCCTTGGTTTTCTTCTTTATTCCATCCTTTTCTTTTTAAGAGCCCTCTAAGTAACAAAAATATTTCATATATCAGCTCAGGAAGAGAATACATAAATACAGAACCTGCTTCAGACGAGTGACACTCATTATCTGACTAAAACTTCAACCAAAAACTAGCGTGTTGAACAACAAGCTATTGGTGAGATTTATGAAGGAAGGGACTGAACACATGTCCGAGGCAACACAAAATGTTTTCAATGTTAGATGTTTATAAACCACAAGTCAGAGATATGGAAAGCCTCTTTGTGGGAAAATGTCAGTGAGGAATTGAGGGACGCTAGTGAGGCAAGAAGGGAATAGAACAAGCAGAAATTGCCAGAGAGGGACTTTATTCTGGAGATCATCAATTAGGAACTTCTCTTACTGTTTCCTTTTGCTCCTTTAACTTCTCAATGTCCCTTTTCAAATACTGAGACTTGGTGACAAGTTAAAAAGAAACCCTGCCTGGTCTATATTTTCACTTTAACCCCTTATTTAGTAAAGGAAGAGGAAAAAGAAAAGGAAGACGAGGGAAGGAGAAATGTCTCATGTAGCCCAGGCTAGCCTTAAACTCACTGTTTATGTGAACGTGATCTTTGAGCCTTCTACATCCATCTCTGGTTCTGAGGATAAAACACAGGACTTTATACATTCTGGCTAAGCACCTTACCAGCTGAGCCAGTTCTAAGAGTCACAGTGAGTGCTTTTACCCTGTGTATCTTCACTGAAGGCACATTAAAGAGAACAAGTGTCATCACAACAGTCAATAGGCACAATGCTCTTTACATCACTCTCAAGTGGACATCTCTTTGGTAATATCTTCCCTAACTCTCATCATCCCTTCCCTTACTCATCATAACTCAGTTATATACACATGCATCATACCATACCATAACACTGTGTGTGTGTGTGTGTGTGTGTGTGTGTCTGTTTACCACAAATATAATGGATTATTTCCATCATTTTTTAATTTGGTGATCGTCTCAACAGAGGCAGGTATAGTCTACAGTCATACCCACCCTAAATGCTTCCAGTCTCATCAGAAGCAGGCACAATATTTGTCTTACTCCTCATCTTATCCTCAGAACCAAGCTTGATATGTAAAATAGATGCTCAGTAAATGTTGGTGGCTTTAATTATTTTTTAACTAAAGATAAAAGAATGGTCTCTTTTAAAGCGAGCCATTTTCTTCCCAAATAATTAGTGAGTGCCCAGTGATACTTGTACCCAGAACCATGAGATCTGAGACTGTACTTTCATGGCTACTCTGAGCTGGTCACCTGACCAAATATCACTGAGAATCATCAAGGGACCTGCCAAAACACAGATGAAAAAGATCACCCTTGTCTACTCTACTACTAAAAGAAATTAAGCCAAGGCATGGGAATTATTAGGGCAGTAACATCATATTTTCATAAAAAAAACTTTCATATTAGATACAAATTTGATTTTATCTCTTGAAAGATACTGAGGAATTATTGTTATCAATTTACCTATAGTATTATCTCTACTCTCCCACCAATCAAGTCAGATACTCATAAACATTATATTCCTAGACTCATTTGCCAAGATTCCATACCTATAGAGTATAATAGTTAAGTACAAATAAATTGTTCTAGCATAAAGAGCAAAATAGTCAAATGACTGCCAATGCAACCCAGAGCTATCATGAGTACCCTGGACACAGACACACATTGACTTGGACTGCAGTGTAGGAAAACAGTGAAAAAATAAAAACTATGGCTGTTTTCATTCATATTCCTGGAAATTCAACCTAGGAAAACAGCCAGTTTGCATGTGGGGGTTGAAAAAGAAAATGGTACATTTTTCCCTCATCTTTTCACTTTCTCAGAGTTTCTCCAAATCTTACCCAGTGACTGAATATTTAGTTGAAGAAAAAGAAATGTAGTACTTGTAGCTGCAGTAACTCACAAAACTACTTTTTAAACATGTAATTAGGCATATAGAAATATCTAGAATAGCTGGTGCATATAATGTTCTAAAACCCATTAACAACAATATTCCTTTCAAAGAAAGATCTAAAACTAGACATATGGTTGAGTGGTTAGAGGCACTTGCTGTGTTATAAACTGGTATTTGGATCCCAGGACCCAAAATAAGGTGGGAATCTAACATGTGCCTGTAACCCCAGCGTCAAGAGAGAAATAGACAGAGGGAATCACTGGAGCTTGGCTTCCAGCCTAGCCAAGAAAACACTAGCCCAGTGGTTCTCAGTCTTCCTAATGCTGAGACCCTTTAATACAATTTCTTATGTTGTGGTGACCCTCAATCATAAAGTTTTTTTATTGCTTTTCATAACTGTGATTTTGTCACTACTATGAAGTGTAAAGTAAATATTTTTGGAGATAGAAGTTTGCCAAAGAGGTGGAGATAGGTTGAGAACCACTGCAGTAGCCTCATATTCAGAGAGAGACTCTGCCTCAAAATAAAAATTGGAGAGTGATACATAAGAATACTCAGTATCTCCCCTGGTCTCTGTGCATGTGCAGAAGTTCATGTACTTGTACATACACACACACACACACACACACACACACACACACACACCAAACATGTCATGACAAACATGTACCTAAACACACACACACTAAATATTTTTTAATATTTTATTTATTTATTGTGTATACAGCCTTCTGCCTGCAGGCCAGCAGAGGGTACCAGATCTCATTCAAGGTGGTTGTGAGCCACCATGTGGTTGCCAGGAATTGAACTCCTGACCTCTGGAAGAACAGTCCATGCTCTTAAACTCTGAGCCATCTCTCCAGCCTCCACATTAAATATTTTTAAAGAATGCAAATAACTTACAAGATGTTACATAGAAAGTAAGAGTTAGAGCTAGAATTGAAGTCCAGGTAGCCAAAGCACAGAGTGCACTATAACAATTAGCCCTCCACAGGGCACAATGAGTTAGCCTGGCATACTTCACAATTGTATAGGGATTTACCTTGATTCAACAATAGTCTTTTTGAATTGTAATCACTACGATTGCCACTGAGTATCCCTAGACTACACCCACCCCCTTCACACAGCCCCTTAGTGTGCTATAAATAGACTATTAGGCTAGAACTTATGAGTATTAGGACCTGATCCTGATCCCAGGACTGTGCCTGACTCTTTCATATTAGCGTGACATAAAATAGGCGTAGTCCAGTCTGAAGTGATGCCTTCTGTCCTGGTCACTCTATAAGATCATGTCTCCTGATGCAAATCCTGAGGCCCAACTTATGTTGATGCAAGCCAGGACCATGTTCAGTCAGCAAGTGCAGTGTCAACCTAAGTCTGTGTAGCTGCTGATCTGTCTGCTTACTCTTCATTTCCACAGCCCTTGGGGCTGGTTCTTGGACATTGGGGCCTAGTTGTTTCAGATCAAATGCTAAATTGAAAATGTCATTTTAGCAAAACAAAAGAAAAATTAAATCATGAAAATGTCAACACCTGACCTATATACGGTCATAATGATGGTAAAACAATATACCACTTTTCTCAATATTAGTTTTACTTAGGATCCCTGTGAGTTGAGTTTATATGCCATCATTTGAATATTGCAGATAAAAACACAAGTCAAAGCATCTTGTTTATTTAAGATCATATGTGCAGTTGATTTTTTTTGATACATGACCTAGTATCACCTGGAAAAATAAGTCTCAGCGAGGGATTGCATGATCAGGTTGGCCTGTGGCCATGTCTGTGGGGGATTTTTTTTCTTGGTTATTTGAGGTAGAAAGACTCACTCTGAGCATGGGCATTCACAGTCAGGGACCTGATAAGGTTAGTGTGAAACTGAGCTAGTAAGAGTCACACATTCCTTTCTCTCTGTTCTTCGTTGTGGGTGTGAGAAGCTGCTTCAAGTGCCTGACACTTTGAGTGTTCTGCAGTGATAGACTATAAAGTGGAAAGGTAAGTCAAAAGAAATCCCTTCTCTCCTAAGCTGTCTTTTGTCAGGGTTATTTTATCACAGCAATGAAAATAAAACTAGCACAGGCTCTCATGCAACCCAGCCTGGCCTTGAAATGGCTACATAACAGAGAATGAACCTGAATTCCTAATCCTCCCGCCTCTACTTCCTAAGTGCTACAACTACAGGATTTTATAGAACTGGTTTGTATTGGTCCAGCAGCAGCCAAAACGTTAGACACGGAAAAGGGACCTCTAGTTTGGGACTATATGTCTGGTTCCTGGCTTCATTTCACTAGCTTGTGAGTTAATGCTGGCTAAGTTACAATACCTCTTTTCTCTACTTTGGGCTGTTATCCAAGATTGTAAAAGCTGGAAAACAAGTGGAAATTATAAATAGTGGGCAATTAATTTTCAAAGCACACTGATAAAAGTAGTAACAATCAGTCCCAAGCTCAAGCAGAGAAAACGATTTTCACTGGGCTCCCTCACAAATGCCCCAGCCTGCCAAGTGGCCGGCACTCTCTTCACTTCCGGTTTCCACCCTACCATCTGCACACTCATGCTGTGCAAGCTGTGTGTGTCTTTCTTACTGTGGTTTCTACTCTCTTTATTTTTATTTTTTCTCTCCTCTTTTTCTTCTCTGTTTACCCCTTCCTCATTCCAACCCATCTGACAATCACAAACTCTTGGAATACTGACTTACAGAGGCACTCAGAGATCATGCAGAACAACATCCCAATTCTGCCCATGAAAAAGCCAACAGTCTTAAGAGGTGATTTTCACAAGAACATGCTGTTACTTGGGAGAGAACACATGGCCCCAGTCCAGTATTCTCCCCACACGATGCTTGCAGCTGTGTCATGGAAGAACATTTGAAAGCCTTAGTATTTTCCATTATCGTGTTGATAAGTAACTAAGAAAAAGCCATTTTGACATAAGAATTTGTTATTCTTTTCTCAAATAAAGCATCCTCCCTTAAAAATTATCTTTCCAAGTCGGAGAACTAGGGTTCAAAGATGGTTTCAAGGTCATTCCTTACAAGCTAAGTGAATTTGCAAAATAGGTCTGAATGTTCAAAATATTAGTTCCTAAACATCTTTCTTCAATGTAGATTTCACAGGCAAGTTCACAAAAACATGTAAGAAAAATGCTTAGAATTTTTTAATATCTTGGAGTTCATATGAAGTCCATTAATACATGAGAAATCAATCAGAAAGAAAAAATGTATGTTTCTGGATTGGCAGTTTTCAATGAGCGGTGTGTATATGCTGGAAAGGTACACATGATGGTCATGGAAGGTTGAGGGTAAAATAGCAGAGCTTCCTATTTGGAAGGCAGGTTGTTCCCAGCTGTTGATTTGTTCACTGAGACAGGATCTTTCACTGTAACTCAGGCTGCCCTTGGACTTGCGGCAATCCTCCTGCCTCTGCTTCTCAAGTGCAGAGATTGCAGGTGTGAACCCCCATGCTTGACTCTGGATTTGTATTGTTGATTTTAAATTTTACGCTTCTGGATTTTTGCTTATATTTTAGCATGCATAGTATAGTGGTAACATATACAATTCACAAAAAGTAAAAGTAAGCATGATGTTGCTATGTGCTTCAATGTTTTTGTCATTCAGAATTAGGCCAATTACTGCTGACAACAAGACACCTGGGTAAACTCCTTCCACTCCCTAGGAAGACCCTGCCACCAGGCAAGGCCTCACTCACCTGGTCCTTGGTCTTGCCTTCTCGCTCACGGATGTGGTTAGCAACAATCCTTTCTGTTTCCTCACAAAGTCTGGGGAAGTTTGCCAGCTGTCAAGAAAACATATCTGGGCATTAATACCACACAAAGGTTGTACCATAGAAACAGAGCAGAGGTTCATGATGCTCTTACAGAGGCTGCTCCTTCTGAGAGCAAAGGAGAGACGTGCACTTCTGTAGGAGATCAGCCCCAGCAGCCCTGACATCTGAGAGGAGATGCCTGAAACTCAGGACAGTGGTTCTCTGCAAATAAAGCAAAAGCCCAGTGTCCCGACTAGTTTATTGCCAACTTGACAGCAGTTGAAGTTATTTGGGAAGAGAGATTCTCGATTCAGGAAATGCCTCCATAATACTTGTCTTTAACCAAGTTGGTAGTGCATTTTCTTAATTAGTGAATGATGTGACAGGGCCCTGTCCATTGTCGGCAGTGTCACCCCTGAGCAGGTACTTCTGAGGTGTATAAGGAAGCAGGCTGATGCAGAGGCCATGGAGGGCGCTGCTTACTGCCTTGCTTCTCATGGTGTGCTCAGCCTGCTTTCTTTTTTTCAAGATTTTTTATATTAATTTATTTTTGACACGCATCAGCTTCTGCTATCAGGTTCCTGCCTCGTTTGAGTTCCTGTCCCGACTTCCTTCAGTAATGAACAGCAGTGTTCAAGTTTAAGTCAAATAAAACCTTTCCTCTCCACTTTTCCACCAAGAAAGGAAGGAAGGAAGGAAGGAAGGAAGGAAGGAAGGAAGGAAGGAAGGAAGGAAGGAAGCTGAACAGGCCATGGGGAGCATGCCAATAAATAGCACTCCTCCATGGTGTTATGCTTAAATTCCTGCCTTTAGGTTCCTGCCTTGAGTTCCTGTCCTGATTTCCTTTCCTCCCCCACTCCCCCCTCTCACATACACACACACACACAAACAAACACACACACACACTTCAATCTAACAACTTCCCAGCATTCTGAGGTAAAATCATAAAGATTTTTATTACAACATTAATTTGGAATGACAAAATGAGACAAATAAACAGGAACTTAGCATGAATGTGTGTGTCACACCTATACATGCATGTGTGTACATGTACAGGCTAGAAGAGGGTGTTGGTGTCTTTCTCTAGCACTCTCTTCCTATTTCTCTGAAGCAGATTCTCTCTCTGAAGCTGATGTTTCCTCTTGGCTAGGCTTGAAACCAGTAAATCCCAGCCATACTCCTGCCTCTGCCCTCCTCAGAGCTGGGGTTTCAAACATTTGCAGAGACACCCAGCTTGTTTTCCAGGTATCAGGATCCAATTTGCCATCTTCCTGATTGTGTAGCAAACAGTCTTAACTGCTGATCCATTTCTCCAACCTCTGGAATCACATTCTCACAATATTTAATGGTGTTCACAATGTAATACAAGGGGGAAAAACTGAGCAACTAAACAGATAATGTACTGATGCCAAAGCACCACCATGAATCCTTAGATACACAGCCCTAAGAACTTTACAATCCCCAGGTTCTTGAATAACACTTCCTCAGGCTTGAAATAAGTTAGGAAAGGCCTCCCTGAGGGATGCTGCCTGAGGTCACCTGGGGTCACTATGCACACTGACAGTTTATATGTTGCACATTTGTTTCCCATGAAGACAAAAGCCCCAGTTCTTCTTAGAACCATCACAAGAACATCATCATCTCATGATCTGGTCTTTTAGTGGTGCAGTCTATTGTCTGTGAACAGTGAACAAACATGATACAATATGCATAACAGTAACTCTTTCAACTATTAGTAAGTTTATTCCTCTGAAGAGGTTTCTATAGTGGAGTATTTTCATACCACTATCAAAAAATAGAGAAAACTAACTGCTGTCATAACTCATAAGGAAAAGCACTTGCTATATATGCATGAAGACCCAAGTCAACCTTCAGAACTCTGTTTAAGAAAAGAAATCCAGGGATGGGAAAACGTGTCTATATTCCCATTTCTGTGAAGGTTGGGAAAGGAGGATCCCTGTGGCTCACTCCAACAAGCCCAGCCAATTAGAGATCCTGTCTCAAAAAGTAAAGTGGGCAGCACCTGAGGTTGTCCTCTGCCTCTACACTCATGTATACCATATACACGAACAGACACATACACATAGACACATAGACACACACACACACACACACACACACACACACACACACACACACCTGAGCTCACTTTTACCGTGAAAGCAGCCTGTAGTTCTGTGCCAACAGCTGAAACAAAAGTAAGTAGACTAAATTCTAAGGGAAACAAAAGAAAAACAACAAAATCCCTGACCTCACACGTTGGGGGCAGGGGTGGGACTGGAGATGACACCAGGCAGTGCAGGCTATAAGCATCACTGAAAAGCATCAATTAAATGAATACATTTGCTATGTGCCTGATCTGCAAAGGGTTCTGGGGGCATAGAATTCAAAAATGCTGGCTTTTACAGATGTGGTGCTCAATTCTTATGATGCACACAGTAAGTAAATCAAAGTCCTTCTGATACTCAAAATGAATTCTGATAAGGCTCTGTACCCTCCGCCTCATCAGCTGGTTTATTAGGAATTGCAGAGTGTTTACGCAGCCCTCCTTCCTGCTCTCCAACACCCTTTGTCCTGATTGCCAGCTCTGTATCCGCCTCACTTCCATACCTCTTAAGGAGCAATTACAATTTCCATGATCATTTAAATCATTACAGCTCCCAAGGTTGTTTGCTCTGGCTTTCAGTTAAAAGCCTACATTGCAAAGAATTCTAGTCCTGGCTGCCTAAATAATGATGATCTACAAAGCACCATATTTAGACCTCAATTCCCCATTAATTACTTATATTCTGTAAGCTATTCAGAAAGGATCAGTGAAACTAGGCTTCGCTACTGGTTATAGACACTTTCTATTCCTTGATTTCTATCACATCACTCACTAGGCCATCCTCTGGCTCTATACTTAATATGTGTCAAAAACACCTGGCATTGAAGCTTACACTGCAGAGAGTTTAGTTATCTATGTAAATATAGTCACACAAGAGAAATGTTCTCAAAGTGCAAGAGAGAGAAAGCACAGAGAAACCAATAGTTAAACCTACCATAAGAATGCCTCTTGAGATTTAACGCCTTTGCAACAAGCCTGAAACTTTCAGTCATATTGCATGTTGATTAAATGGCAAATTACTTCCAAATACCTTCTTGTTTAAATCACTTTACTATTCTTAAATAATGAAGATTCAACACAGAAGTAATATGACTCTTTTTTCTCAGAACCTAACCCTCTAATGTCTGATTCTGAGAAAATTTTAATGATACATGTCCTGAAAGAAAATTATTTAAAAAATGCAAAGCTGCATCTTAAATTATGTTCAATATCTCAAGTATTATTTGTGGTTGTGTGTAATTATTTTGAGGAACCTCAGTATAAAAATTTTAGTATGAACCACCTTTTTCTCTGTGGGTAAAAACAGCACTTGAAAGGTATTTCCATCCAATAAAACAAAAATTACACACTTATAAAATTTACTAAACATTAATGAATCAGATCATAAGACCCAGGCAATTCAGTTTCTCCTGGGATACACATTAGCCAGCCAAGGTTTCTATGGCCTCAAGAGTAACTAGTCTGATGCCTCAAGCAAAAACTCGGGCTGTTGGGTAATCACTATTCATGAACCTGTAGCAGGGATCACAGAGAAAACAAACCAGAACGGTTTCATCTATTAGACCTGACTTTGTGAGTCTTCGCCTACCACAGATAAGGGCTTGCGGTCTCTCTCTCTATATCTATATCTATATCTATAGATATAGATATAGATATATATAGAGAGAGAATATGGTCATCTCTGAGGAAAGTGCTATGAAGAAAGGAGAACCATATTCACCCACATTCACATAAGATTGGAAATATTGGAACTGAGGAGCGACTTTAGCATAGAGCTGTCAGAAAAAGCGAGCTTCTTCTGCATAGAACAGTTTTTGTTTTACAAATGGCATTTGGGAAATCTACAGAGCTAGTGAGGGCAGGGGAAAGGAGCCAGGTCCTGGCTGAAGGACTTGGACAAAGTGAATCCAGCACAAGAAATGTGTCAGCCACCCTCCTCCAAGTGGGCAAATTCCAAATCTCTAAACCTCAAATACTTTCTGCAACTAGAGGGAGAAATGATGAGGTGTATGATGGAAAAACTTTTAAACAGAAATAAAGAGAACTTTTGCATTATTCAGCAAATGCTATAAAATTAAAATTTCAAAGTCCAACCTTGGATGGAATAAAGCCTTACTGTTGTTAGTAATGGCATGCTTGGTCTCTTAAAGAATGCAGAAGACGTTTAAACAGGTCAGGGGTGGGTGACACTGTCTCCAAACAGTACCTGAAGGTCTTCATCGGGGTTTTGTCTTCCCTGTCATCCCAAGTTTATCTTTGGTAGACATGTTAATGAGCAGTGAAGTTGGAAAAAAGAAGAAAAACAGAAGGTAGGAGGGAAAGCTAAGCATTGGGCCTGAATTTCCTATAGTATCCAATAAAAGCTTCAAAAACTAACCATCCTGATTTAGAGAAACTGAAACTCAAGTCTCTCACACAGAGCACAAGCCCATCAGCATGGACCTACTGAACCTATTCCATGCTTTGTGGGCTTTCCTTTGACCCTACCTCAGCCAAACTGGCTGTCACCTGCTACATCCACATCATGTGATTTCTTTATCTTACCAACTGTGCATCCAAAATTACTATTGGGGGAAAATGGTTTAGGGTTGCAAATAGAACTGAACTCAATAAATCAAGTCCCTGCTGTCAGAGATTATACTCTCAGGGTCCCTTCATTGCCCAACAACAAGAGACATATGGGGTCTAATTCACATAGTCCCATGTGCCGAAAGGAAAAGGAGGGGGTAAGATGAAGACTAGCAGAGTCTCCTGAGCGTTTGGAGATGGAAAGATTGGGAAGCTGTACTTAGAAAATACAAGAAAGACTCTGATCACATGGCCTTTGAACACCTGAAGGAAGCAAGCATGTGATCTTTGCAGCTACTTTGACGCACAATAAGAAGTGTAAAGTCCCCAAAGCCCTGACACCTCGGGCTGCTAA